AGGTAAATGAGAACTGCACTCTCTTTTCAGGTAGAGACAATGTCTGTCATGTTCAACCATAGCTCAGCACAATGGCTCATACATTGAATGGATGAATGAGTGAATAATAGATGAATAATTATGTTGTAAGTGTATATGAAGCAACAATATATATCAATTCTGAAGAGCAGTGAGAAGCACCAAGAAGATCAGGCTTAAAAGGTTTCCAAGAACAAAGAGATGTGACACAAATTTGAACTGAAGCCCAAGGAGTGGCCAGAGTGTGATGAGGAAAGGGTGATGCAGTCGAAAAAGAACCAGACTTGGATCCCAGGGATTTATGTTAGAATCCAGACTTTGGTTAGCTGTGTAACCTCCAGAAAATCACTGAATCTGAGTTTCAGCAACCTCAATTATAAAATGGCGATAATGATGATGATGGTGATGTGAAAACTGAATGCGACTATGTGATACTGCCTGAAAGAGAGGGTGAGACATTTACATTTTCAACAGATATGGTTGTTAGCATAAAAAGAGGAAGTGGTAACTTAAGAGAATGAATTCATATGTGAAAAGCTTTTGAATGGGAGACAAGAAGGAAGACAAGGCAAGATGGAAATAGAAAGTGGGTTGGGCAGGGAAAAGCAGATTCATCAGAAAACAGGCTGGAACGAAGAGAAACAGTGTGGGGAGAACAATGCCCAGAAACATTGAAACACTGAGGGAACAAGGAAAGACGACTCACCTACTGACATGCCATCTGGTGCTGCAAAAATCCAAAGAAAATAAGTTAGCGTCTATTCCAGCNTTAATGAGGCAGTTCTGTAAAACCTTGAGCACAGATCTTTGTATGTACATTGTAAGTTGTGTTTGATAATTGAGAAGAAATTGCTGATGCCAGAAAGCAATTGCTATTGCAAATGTTTATTGAACAATGACATCAGTCATTTTGGGGGTCTGGCTTAGGATGTGGGTCCATAAGTTTTCTGCCTTTTCTGGTCCTCTTAATCTTCAAGAGAAATGTGAACTGCTGCTGGGTTGAGATAAACAACCCTGTGTCCACAACAAACAGAATCACCACCAACAATGGGAAAATAAGTTGTGGCCCGTAGTAGTTGCTTCCTAAATGTAACAAGAAACATAACTCAAATTAGAAATTGAAGAATGGGGTTCAGGGCTTCATCCTCCCTAAGAGAAGCACCCAGCATGTTCTTCCAACTTCTAGCATGGTGTGGCATCCAGATGCAGAGACAAAACACTCCTGAGTTTGGGTTCCTCAGACTGTGCTTCCTGGAGTCCTAGGGAGTCCTGAACATTTCTCCATAGCCCTTTTCTAATAATTCCTCTAGCCAATGTGCCCAAGAGGGAAAGTCACAGGAAATATGACCCCTTTTTTGGAGTTGACAAGACCAATATCTACATATTATTTGGAGGCAGAAAGGAGACAGAGTAAAGGCAGAGAGTCATTACTGTCTTATTTCTCAATCAACCAATCAATACATCAATTTCTTGTATGCCTATTTGGTGAAATGAAGCTATTGGACTAGATCATCTTTAAATTTCTTTCCAGTTCCACTATTTTGTGAGTCTATTACTCTGTTTACTTGTACAAAGTACTACTTTTTGTAATTATTCTAGAATTATATTAATAGAGTCCCAGAATAGTACAGCCAGAAATCACTTAAAGCTCACTTAGATCAATGGCTCTCAATTGTGGGTACACATTACCATTACATTTTAAAGATATTGATGTCCAGGCTTTATCCAAACCAATTAAATCAGATTTTCTAAGGATGAAATTTGGACATCAATATTATTTTTAAGTTCCCCAAGTGATTCTGATGGAGTGTAAACCAAACCCTTTATTTTATTTTATTTTATTTTATTTATTTTTTAAGGAGGGCGCAGCTCACAATGGCTCATGTGGGGATCAAACCAGCAACCTTGGTGTTATCAGCACCACGCTGTAACCAACTGAGATAACTGGCCACCCCAAACCCTTTATTTTATAGATGAGGCTACTAGAAACCCAGTGACAATTAAATAGCACTTAGGTCTCAAATTAA